GGTGATGAGATGTGAGGAAGTGGTGAAGCCAACTGCAAATGAGGAAGGGATTGCCATTGGCGACTGATGCTGATGAGCTCTTGGTCAGAATCTTCAGAGGAATTGCGACGTAGAAATTATGTATGGAAAATAAAGAGAAAGGGATGCTCAAAAATAAACTTTAAAAGTATATTTCACTACTCTGAACCCTGTTCAAAGGAAAGAACGTCTTGTCACATGGCAAATAGTGTGATCAAACGTGGGGCACTTGTTCATAAATCATAATTTTAAAACCGTAAAAATAGTTTTAAAATATCGCATTCTGCTTTTTGTTATATTATCTTTCAATTAGTCCGTCTGAGGTCACAAGGCAATTGTGTAGCACTTTTTATTGGTTAATCCGTCACTAGTTAAATGATCTACATCCCTTTATGGAGAGAAGCGGTAGGAGCCTCTGGTAATTTGACTAGACGTCTCGTATTAGCCGTGAAAGTCGCTTATTTTTTTGACCGGAAAACGTGACGCTACAATGTCCCTTTTATGTGATAATGACTTGTTAGCATTAAATTCCGTCAATAATACTAAATTTATCATAATATATTCAGTTTCCTTAAAATTTGTTTACAAAAAACAAGTGACCATATATTGTGCTCATGTGCCACGTAACAATTGTTTAGAGTCTGCTGTGGTTTCTAGGAAGAGAAAATGGACCTTTGACGTCATTTCAACTTGTATTTGCTTCATCTCTAACGATGTATATGGAGAAATTCAATACGATCCTTCTGTTTTTGAGATTTTCTTGACTACGTATGCAATCTTACGTTGTATTAACCACGTAATGTGAACTGGAAATCGAACGTCAGAGATAAAAAAAAAAAAGCATTTTTGCGTAATTTTTGAAAAAATCACAAAATATAGGAAAATGGTGATTATCTTATACAGCGGATTTAGCCTTATTCACAGGGGGAATTTTCTATACATGTTCTTAATAAAAAGAAAATTCAAATATATTTGTGTAGTTTTCCATCGAACGTAGTACGGTACGAGAAAAACACCGTAAACTGGGCAAGACTAAAACGCCAACAGAAAACTCTCTCGCTCTCGCCAGAGTGGCAAAAGTAATTGTAAACTTACACACACTGACTAGCTCCTTCGGACAACGTGACAGTAATAATTATAGGTAGGCAGAACGACATAAATCATGGCTGTAAATTTAACCCGGAAGAACATCTACCAACGATTCTAGAGACTGCCACTCACACTAATGTCATGACTACTCTTTCCCCCTGGCACATTATTGCCACAAACAATGAAATTAAAATGGCAAACAACCGTTTAAAACATCACTTGAGATAGACACTAATTGCACTACTTGATCTTGACATTCTCTCAAGAAACTTCCTTACAAAACCTGGTCTCCATCTAACTCTGGAAGGCAAGCAGAATCTTGGTGCCATGTTAACACGTGTGTTGAGCTCTTTTCCACCCTTGCAGCTTCACACCTCATCCTTGCCTATCCCACCATCTACAGCTGCCTCCTTGCTATCTTTTCTATCTACCCCTACCTCCCGAAAACCACCTCCATTTCATGATCCTATCCCAACTGCCACACCTGTCACTCTCACATCTGCTACAACTTCCTCTTCTAGACAAAAACCTCAGCCAACATACAACTTTCATTGCAACTGCAGACCCCCCCACCTATGACCTGTACTTAACCAGGAAAGCCCACAGCACACAAAAACAAATATCTATATGTACTACATCAAAATGTCAAGTCCTTAAGCTCACAGATTTAGAAATATTACTTGAACAAGACCTACAACACTTAACAATATTATACTTTAGTGAACATTGGTTATCGCAAAACAACTAGATAGCACACACATTCCAGATTTCACCCTAGCCAGTGGCACTTGTAGGGAAATAGGCAAATCACATCATGCTTATAGTGGTACTTGCATCTTTGACACATAATTAATATTATTTTTAACAATCACAAATTACTCTTCTCTTTTAAAAGATAAAGATTTTGAAATATCTATTATAAATTTGCCAAAACAAAGAATATGGATTTTAGGTACGTACCACATCCCCACCAGAAACACAAATAATTTTTCTTAAAAAATCTTAAAATTTTTCTTGAGAAAGAAAAGAGAAAGTATTCAAAAATTTACTTAAATATATAAATTTACAAACTGTTATAAATCAACTGACCAGAATATCTATATAAAAATAATAATAATAATAATAATAATAATAATAATAATAATAATAATAATAATAATAAAAAAAAAAGCAGTACTGCCAGTGATCAAATAATAATAGACACAAATAATTGCAGCTATTCAGTTGTTACATATAACACATTCTTAAAAACTTTTATGCCCATTTTGATACTCAAAATCAAAATGGACATTAAACTTTTTAAGGAAACACTATATAGAAACAGCTGAAACTTCTCTCAGGAAAACTTAGACAAATTTAACTCTTCAATAAGTTCAGAAACCTGAGAAAAGTTGTACAAATTAACCGACATTAATATTAAATTTAACTTATTCTTAAACATATTTCAAAGTTATTTCAACACTGTTTTCCCACAAACAATGAAGAAAAAAGCAGAAACCACAAATCATGGATAACAAAAGGAATTAAAACATCATATGAAAGGAAATGAATCATGCATGAAACAATCCATCACAAATGTAGTTCTGATTTCATTGCTTATTACAAAAAATGCAAAAGTATCTTGAAGAAAGTAATTGAACAGCCCAAACTGTTAATGATTGATCATTGCCAAAGCACAAAACAAAACAAAAGTAATGTAGAACATTGCAAAAAAACTCCAAAAACAAAATACAGAAACACCAAGAACATTGAACTTCATTACAAAAATATTTTTTTGTGAAACCCACAAGCAGTAACTTAACACATTCAATAGACATTTCTCAGAAATTGGAAAAAAAATTAATTCACTGCAACTAAATAATATACATATGCAGTCAAATATCCACACATCAACAAATGTAAACTCTGTATATATCTGTGAAACATCACCTGCGGAAATATAAAACATCATAAATCAAATGAAAAACAATCCTTGACACGACTGGATAATATCCTTGACACCCTCATTAAACATACTATTATCCAAACTTGAAACTTTAGAAATTAGAAGCATTGCACATCAGGTTAAATATTACCTTTCAAGTCTTTGTCAAGTAGTCACAATCAAGCATGTTAGAGGTAAAAATATTTCTACCCATCTTTCCCAACCTAGAATGATAAATTAATGAGTGCCACAAGGATCAATCCTAGGCATCATACTACGAGTATTTCTATTATACATCAATGACATTCCCTTCACCCTACAAAAGAGCAAAAATTGCCCTATTTGCAGATGACACAAACATTATTAGTAAAGCAAATACCCAACAAACTACAAAAATAGCACAAAGCCTTAGAGGCACTAGTACAATGGTTCCAGGAAAATAAACTCATCATAAACACCAGTAAAACTGTCACCCTAAACTTTCGGAATCCACTCTAAAGAAAAGCCTCCTGCACAATTGATGATAAAAAAAAACATGCCTATAAAATAGCCCAAAAAACGACTTTCCTTGGATTGACTAATCAAGATCTAAAATGGAACTCCCGTATCACAGATCTAAATAACAAGCTGAGCAAGTCGTGTTATGCCATATTCAGCCTTAATTCAAATTCTAACTTAGATATACTGCAAATGGTGCACTTTGCAATTGTTCACTCACACCTAAAATACAGAATAATATTCTGTGGAAATTCCCCAGAAAGTATTCACACTTTTATCATCCAAAAACTAATATTGAGAACAATGACCAATGACAAACACTCACAAACATGAGTCCTGTAAACTACTGTTCAAAAAAAATTACAAATACTACCACTCCCATGCATGTACATATTTGAAATATTAATCTTCAAATAGAAGACACTTATGGGAAACAAACATTCTATTACTCTAAACACAGATGTTCATAACTACGATACTAGACAAAACAATTCTGCATGTCCCACACAGTGAGACTTCACCCTTTCAAAAATTTCCCTTATAGAAAGCATTACACTATATAACAAACTCAAGCGAATTTAAAAGCTTAAACTCGATACACTCAAAAATAAACAAAGTTTTCCTGTTAAATCATACATTCTACAGTACAAAAGAATATTTACATTATAAACACGTATCTACATCAATATAAACTTGTTCTAATAGTTTTCGCATTTTCTGTTTCATGTTTTTCTCTCCTAAACCCCTCCTAAACTGGTTGTTGGATATAAAGGACAGACCCAGCCCTGGCATGAATCTATGAAGACTTTCTTTCTCTTTTTTTTTTTTCCCTTTCATTCCTGTTTTTATTATGATTGATTTATTTTATTTTAGTCTTCTTACACTACCATCTATAAAATTAATTAGCATTCCATTGTATTGTATTTAGTATAAAAATTGAATTGAATTTTAATTTATGCATTTAATTTTTATAAATACATATATTGTGCATTATATGATTATATACATATCCTGACTTGTCATGCGTAGCATATGCTGTATTTATGTGACAAATATATTAATAATAATAATAATAATAATAATAATAATAATAATAATAATTACATAAAAGACATAGTAACAGAATAATATTAAATATATTTATAACACACATATCAACATTCAGGAAACTAATTTATTTTTTAAATTGTTCAGACTTTGAGGAAAGGGATCGAAGATTGTCACAGGCAAACTGTTCCAGTCTCTAATAGTTCAATCTCTTTCTAATAATACCATTTCTCTGTGATATGTGGATTCATAGTGAGAATAGAGGAAGTATACTATATAATCCCTTCCTAATAGTATCATCCCTTTATGATGTGAGTATTCAGAATGAAAGGTGAAGAAATTTGGACACCCGCCACCTATTCAAAACAATTTTTATCTCTCTCATCTCATTGGCTCAAAATTGCAGGGAAGCACAGTGTAATGGTGGTTGGTTTATAATGGTTTCAGCAGTATGCTATTGGTAGTATGTTGTGAACAAATGAACAACATAGTGCGTGGTGGTCGCCGCGAACCTGCGTGAAAACTAGCTGGTTGCGTCTGTGAGCGGGACGATGCGCGAAAAAGCTATGATGAAGTGGTGGTTAGTGTTGCGATGGGCTATTTATGTTGAAAAGTTTTGATTCGAAGTAAAGAGGAGAAATGGCTAACATGATAAACACAGACGAAAACTTCTGTTTATACATGGACGACATTGTGAAAACAGAGGAAACTGTAAGTATTTTGAGCAGTTCGATCTTTCCATAATATTCTATTGGACGTCATTTAGGCAATTTCTTTGTGAATTCATTATGTACCGGGCACTTTAGCTTATCGCAAATCCGTAATATTCGTGGATTGAAAGCTCCGGGGTTTGAGTTTTGACGGAGGCAGACACTCCACATCAGTTGTGTAGTAAGGGTCGAGATTGCTAACTGCCTGGATGAGAATTCTAGAGACAGGCTGGCCTGACAGGTTGTTTTCAAATTTGCATCAGATCAGTTCCAGATGAATGCCGGGGCTGTATCTTACTCAGAGCCACGGATCAAATGCAAACCATCCTTCTCCATCCTGCCCCTACTTCCATTATTAAGGACAGGCTATGGGCTGATCTCCCATGATCTTAAAAAGTACTGTGAATATGTCAGTCTCACAGTATGGCTAGACTAATGGCGAAACCAATGGAGGGTGGTGGACTCAGAGAAAGAAGACAAAATTAATTCTGTATGACATTGTACAGAACTCTGATCAGATGAGAATTCCTAGATTATTACAATATAACTTGACATAGATGCTTGGTTGCTGCACCATTAAAACTCAAGGTGCAATTTTTTTGTGAATTTAGAGTTATTTTACTTATGACTAAAGGAGAAATTCATTAATTCAAATATCTCATTTCTAGGTTAAGGATGAACCAATGGGACAAATGGAAGATGATTTTGAGAATGCAATATGGAATTGTCTGGTGAGTTCTGTTTTATTGTGGATGCTAAGCTATATAAATTTAAGGACATTTTTCATGACAGTAATTAGAAAATAATATATCTATTGAAAATTGTGAAAGTAATTGTTATGTGTATAATTAATGACTGATTAATGTGTGACATTTGCAATCTTCCATGCAGGAAAACACTAATGGCTGCTCTGAAGATGACATTCTAAAAGTGAGTATTGTTTTAAGTTCTCTAATTAAATTGTTTTAAGCATAGGTAACTTGGCATCCACTGAGAATAAGGATATGCATTAATGATAACCCTGAGTTGACAGTTATGATAATGTTCGAACAACTTTTTTCTTAAAGGACAGGAAATTTGAATTAAATTCAGACAAACTGCTCCTTTTCTGATTTTTCATATACACGCAAAATAATGTGAATTTTGGTATTTGCTATAGACTGTTTGATTATCGGTGGAACTAGAAAAAAATCACAAACTCTTGTCTTCTGAATCACTTTCTATATTTTCAAAAAGTTTCAATTTAAATAAATTTATTTAATTGTGTTAGTAATGGCTTATTACTTCAATTACTGCCATATTATAACACTATTCTTGAAGACAATAACATTGCTGAAAAAAAATGTGAAATTGAAATTGGAAGTGGTAAATATTTTAAAGTGTTTGGAGTATGCTTATATTGCTCAAATATGCCAAAGCTTATATTTTCTTGAAGATGATGATCATGATTTACATAATGTGTAATTGGCTAATGATGTATCGCATGGGGGGTATGCAGATAGGGTTTTGTATTTTGGGAAGGAAATTGAACTTAAGAATTTGAAGAAAGACTCCCAAAATTCCTCAAGACCATAAGCATTTAGAAAATGACATGTTGAATAGTTTGTTTATAGATTCAAAGAGACAAGAAAGAATGTGGAAATATAACTAAGGGATACTGAACATTGCACAGGATGGTCACATTTTGGAAAGAAAAAAAAAAAAATCAGGGAATTTGTAGAAGAATTATTAGAAGTGAAATTTTAAGGTGGTTATATTACTAGAAAAACTTATTTAAAAAAAACCTAGTCCAGCAAAAAATATTGACGCAAGGTTCGTTGATTGAAAAAAAAAAAGTTACTTTATCAAAGTAAAGTCAGAGAGCTGATAAATTAGTATTGGGCTTGCTTTAATATTTTTAAAAATGTGTGAAATCTTCTACAAACCAAAAAATGGGCGGAGGGGAATACATTGGAAAACTGGGAAAAGTTGGGGGAATTTTTTGTAGGAAACAAGTGGCAACCCTGTTGCAGATTTTGTAATGTTCTAGGGCAACATGTGGTGTAGCTGGCAGCATTTTTTCTAGATATCAGTGTTTGTATCTGTTGATCAAAGTGTAATTTATGCTGAAAAAAGTAGGATCTTGGCAGGTTATGGTTGGTTCCCCATTTCTTTTTTCCATTGCCCCGAGCATCATCCGTACTGTTTGTTACTCCCCCTATATGTTTATATTTACTTCCATAATAGAAAGAGGTGACTAGCAGTGGACTTGAGTAACTTGACTGTGAAATAACTGTCTCTGGTAGTCTCGCAGCACATAAAGGCAGAAGATAAATATACATTTGATTCCAGTTATAATGAACTTCTGGGGAGTAACATATTCAGATCATTATATCTAATGATGTCAAAATTAAATAGAATTTATCCGTAACAATTGATATTGTTAATATTGAGGTAAAGCAAAATACATTAACAGCACCAACTGAAAATTCTAATATCTTCATTTTTCCTTAAATAATTAATTATTTTCAGTTGTTTGTTTCATACTTTTTCATTAGTAATTTCAGTAGATCCAGAGTTTGTGCTCTCTCCATACATGATTTTGCATTGTCCTTTGAGTGTAAGTATTGTAATGCAGTCTTGACACCTTTCAATGCTTGCACTGTTAAAACGTAGTCCCACTCTCTGAAGGTCCTTTTACTTGCCTAATTACATACGAGATGCTTTTGGTAGCAGGATGGTGCAAATTACTTATGAAGCTTATCTCTTGTCCGTGTGGCACTGAAGATATCGCCAGGCTGTGCTTTGTCCCATGGAATACATCAAGATTGAAACTGAAACAATCAATTGCTCATCACCTTTGCCAGTCGTACACTCAACCCCATGCAGAACACTGTCTTTGTTTCTGCAGTGAAACTAAGTGGCATAAGGTTATCAGTAAGGTCCAATTCAAGGTCCACCACCTTCACATCAAGAGAGACTTCTTCGTGTTTGACAGTTGGCTGACAATATTTTTTTGAAGTTGCGTAGTGTCGGAATTTGTGGCACTAAGACAATACATTCTTTTCAAGTAGGGAATTAATTTCCTGGATGACTGATATTCTACGTTTACTGTTGCTGAGGTTCAGGTTCACTATAACCAAATTTTCTTATGCTTATTTGTAATGTAAGCGAAACGGGACCAGTGACCTAAGTTCACTTATAACTGCAGGTTCACTATACCAGAGTTCACTGTAACTGGAGCTGAACTGTATTTTTAAAATCAGTGCTAGTTGTCAACTTTCCGTCATTTGGGAAACATTCAAAGTTTTGAAAACAAAATTATTGGATCATTTCTTAAAACTTGCTAAAATGCAGGATTTCTCTATGGCAATGGAGATATTTTGCATCTAACTGTGAACAGTTAAAACTGCTTTATGCAGAATATGATGGATTCCATCTCTACACATTCTTATTTGTCTGTTCAGGTACTAAATTCTTTAAAATCATATCTTTAAGTGCATGTTAAGATTTCATAAGAACTGGTAGTTATAAATAATATTATGTGTTTATACAAAGATGGGGTTTTGGCCTTGTTTTATTTAACAGACAATAATCTTCATTGCTTATTATATTTTAAGAGCGAGTTGAGCAAGCAACATTTTGAATGTAGCCATTGGCATCTTTTTCAAGTGAACTGGGTCTGGTGGGAAAAGCCATGCGAATTTGAACTGTTTAAAATTTACGCTAAAATTTAAATTAAAGTTACACAATTACGAGATGCCATTTTTTGCATGTAACAAGTGCCTCTTCTGTGAGCCAATAAGGGATTTGTTTGGAAGATATCTGCAAGATATTTTGAAAAGGTTCTGCTTACTTTTTTTTAGTTCCTTTCCTTGGTGAGTAATAAGATGTTTTATCTGTCATATTTTCAGCACTGTACGCCAGTGACACTTCTTTTGGTTTCTGAACTTGGTCTTTCTTATCTCTTAAGAATTTGATCTTACTGTTAAAAATTGTTTTATGAGATGGATTATGACATTTTCTTGTAGCACATATTTTTTCTGTAACTAACTTTTTAATCTCAGTAGGTGTTGTTTCCTTCAGACTTTCAAGGCTTTTTTGTTCGTTTCTTGGTGTTATTTCATACTGCTTCTTCAATTCCATTAGTGAATCTTTGAACTTCAATTTCCAACCTTCTTGGGGTCTTTAACTGAATTCTTAGCTTAATGTTATTTTCAGTTTGATTTTAAAACTCTCCCCATCAGTTGTTTTGTCACATTATTACAGTCCCATAGCATGATCGCTGCACTTTGGACACAGGTTTATTTTTGAGGTTCACTCCTCTAGATCCACCACGTTTTGTTAAACATGGCTTCCTGTTGTATAGAAAGATTACTCTAAGGGACTGCTTTGACAGCTACTGCTTGACCACTGCTGGCAATGTATCTTCAGGTTATGACCATGCTGTGGCAATGTAACTATGCAGATGGCTCACTTGCAAAAGGCTTTGACACAACTTCCTGCAAAGTCATTAAACAACGTCTTTCATTTGTTTTCCGAACTGTCAGATTGGTCACGTGTTAGAATAATTTCTCTATAGTGTGTGACTCTTCTCAGTGCAAGTCAGTCATGGGCAAGGCGAGACTATTAGACATCAAGCATCTGGTTTACTCTACATTAGCCTCTGGGTTTAGGGAGGACCAGCTAATAAATAATAGTGCTATCCTTGAACACATTCAGGTCACTGCCTGTACAATATACAGGCCCTGACATTACGCCAAGCAAATCTACGTGTGTTAATTCATACCTTTGATTTACTTATTTATGCCATTTTTCCATTCTCTGATTATTCATGGTGGTTTCTACATCAACAATGTACCTAAATATACCTCTAGATTTTGTTTGCTGCCATTTAATTGGTAACAAATAGCTTTGGAATAAATTGAAGAGCGTGCCCTCTGCTGTGATGCCTAAGGAGTACTGTTAAAAATTACCAAGCCAAAGCTAATTATTGGGGATAAAAAGTAACGTTTATTTTAGTATTACAATAGAAACTAATCTGATGTTATGTTTAATGTTCTAATATTAATCAAATTTGTAAGAATTCAATTAAAATTAACTTGTTGAACTTTTTTTGAGACTCGATTTTTTGTGTTGTACATGTTAAAAGTATTTTAAATAATTAATGTAAACACAAAAGTTGGAACTTCATGTAAAAGCACAAGATTAATTTTTTGTTTGATTTTTTTAATAAAAAAAGTTTTTGGTATTATTATTATTATTATTATTATTATTATTATTATTATTATTATTATTATTATTATTATTGGTTTAGAAGATATGAGCTTTCAAGTATACCCCAAAACCTTATGACCTGTAGTGGAAAAAAGTTGGGCAGAGGCTACGACCTGACTATGTTTAAGGGAAAGGAGCTTCCTCTTCCAAATCCCTTTGCAATGCTATTGAAATTGTAATGGACGATCTGGTTTGCTACATATCAGCAAGAGAGGGAGCAATTACTACTTCATACAGAATGTCAAATATTGTAATCGGTTTAATGTACCCGAGCAAAGCCGTGGATTTTAGGGGCAAAAAAATCCTTCATACGCCTTCCTTCGGAGGGGAAGTAAAGCCAGCTGTCCCATGTTAGTAGATTTACTTGCATGTAAAAGATCCTCAAGCCTAAATGACGCCTCTGATCTAAATTCAAAAACCGCCTGTTTCTCGCCCAAGAAATACCTCCTTCCTCTGCTAGTGGGTGAAAGGAGCGTAGCTAGTGTAGCTAAATTTGCGTGGTCAGACGGAAGTGCGGGCCTGACGGCCCGAGTCTCGCTACATAAAACAAGGCTTCAATTCAATTTAATTCAATGTATAACAGAACTTTGTGCCTTGCGAGCATATCTGTAAGTACCAGATAGGCATTATTTGAATGAAGAAATAAAAGTATATGTATAAATAAATGAAAGACTGATAATCAAGTTAATATATCAGGAGATAGCAAAATTAATTCCTAGAATTTGTTGAAGTTCATTTTTAATGAAGAAACCTTACATTTAGTATTAAAGAATTGTTCCCTTTTTCATGATTATGAATTATTAACATAGGAGTTTGATATCATCTAGGCATTTTTGATGGGTTGGCACTAGTTTTACATAAAATTCAGCTGGTGCCTTTACCTAAATTGCTTAACCTTGCTTCGTAGTGTGACAGAAGTTAAGCAACTCAAAACACCGTGGACTTCTAAATGGGTGTACATGCGTGTTCATACACACTCAGTGCTAAAGATGACGAGACATAATTGCAAAATGGTGTTAAATGTATAAATAAAGGAGGGAATAGCTAAATCTTCAAATGTGTAGGGATCTTCAAATGTGAGTGGATTTTAACTCTTCATTAATAACCGCATTAATGGTGCTCAGTTCATTTGGGTGCTTAAAACGGGGACCAAACCTCCTTTTTACCTTCAAAAAATAATTCACACTAGTTGGACCTCTGGAAATATTTTAGTCCTTTGAAATAATTGTTTTAAAAGTGGAAAAGGCTTCATAACTGAACCAATGTTCAAACAATCCCAGACAATCCATGTAATAGAGTTGGGATACCCTCCAAAAAAGTAATAAAACATCCAAAAAGGCTTCCTTGTATAGATTATAAAAGTTAAAATTCTAGTTCCTTTATGTACATGGATGTCTGGCTTCAAGACACATTTCGAAGTTGTAGCCACCTTCTGGTTAACATGAAAAACTGGAAGAATTCAGAATTTTTCAATGCTCAGGAAAAGTCCGGAGGAAAATCAAGGAATTTGTGAAAGAATAATTTATTGTTTAAGCTCTTTTTTTCCCCCTCAGTTTCTTTTTGGCGAGTTTTTTAAATTTGTACTTTATCATGGTGAAAGCAGAGAGCTTACAACTTAGTTTTTACAAATCTTATGAGTGAAAATGTTTCTAAAACATGCTGGGGAAAACCTTGAAAAGTCAGGGAAATTTGTTTCAGGAAATGTGTGGCCAGTTTTACAGTCAGGATGATATGGTATTGAATTTTAATTTTGTAAATGATTATTGCAACAACAGTGTTTGAATTGTACAAAATAGTGAATTACTTATGGAGGGGATTACGTTTTGCAGGCTGTGTGTCGCTCCCCTCTGATGGTGATGCTGCCTGCATTTGTCGAGGGGGAAGGTGGCCCTCCAGAGTCGCTGTCTGCCTTGGAGGAGCAGGACTTGTTTGCAGTGGTGGAAGGTACAGTGTGATCAGAGGGGATACTATCTGCAATTGCTCAGTGCATCTTTATCACTGCAGTATCTTGTGTTGTGTATACAAGGGGTCCTGTACTGGAATGTTGGAGTCCTGACCTGATTTTCTATTCTATAGCTAATAATTACAACTTAGTGAATTCAACAACAACAATTAAAGATCTTTTTCTCCTAATGGGTATGGATAATCTCTAAAATGGAGTCAGAATGAGAAATTCAGCACATGCGACATACATTTCAAAAATAACCCTATAGAGAAGTGTACCTTAAAATACATGATGTAATAAAAAAGCTGACTTGTATGTGGAATGAGTAAAAAATTTACAAAGATTTAAAATATATATTATGGATTTAATTGCAAAATATCTTAATTCATAGTAATAATAGTAATAAATAATTTATTATCGTAATAATTATTTTATCATGGTTTTTAGAAATGCTATTTGAAATCATATAAATTCAACCACATTAACAATTTTTCAGTGTAGTTCAGAAATAGTCAATAATATAACGATAGAACTGATTTGGAAATGTCATGGCATTTGTAGATTAATATTTATAAATCCAGGAAAAGTTTTGAGACACTATATTGGTAGTTAAAACAAAATATGGTAGTAATGGCTTTAAAACTTGCTGGTATGTATCATCTGTAAGCTCTTCTTCACCGTTTATCTCTAATCGTAATAGTAGGGAATTCTGAATTAGTACTGAAACTTCTAATCCAAAATTTTCGTCAACTACATTTGGTTCTTCCCTGTATTTGCTTATCACTTCTATATTTGTGTCCCCTAATTTGTAAAGAGATTAATACACCACAAACTCAATGTAATTAGTGTTCACTTCTACTTTTGCAATTGCTCTTTTAATCATTTTTTAGGTGAATCTTTATAAACATTAAAAGGCCACTATTTTATATGATTATGTGAATAAAGTGTTAAATTTAATAAGAATAAGTTGTTAGTTACATTCAATGGTAAATCAGTATTTGCACTGTTAAGAACATAAATGTGTGAAGTTGAATTCAGATGTGCTTCCAATCTCATATTTTTCCTGCAGTTCTGGTTTTCTCTGTATTTACTTGGTGTTCTTCAAATTTAATGTATTACTGAGTAATACAGACATCACACTGCACTCCTTACAATGAAAGTAGCACCATCATCGACAGTTCTGTTGCGCATTTCACTTGTCCCACAACAAACATTGTTGCCATTTTCCTGCTGCCTTCCAGTTAAGTTGAGTGTTGCCAGGTAGAGATTTATTGCAGCATCGAGTGTAAAGCCATTTTTAACACAGGTAGGAATTTTAAATCACACAGTGGACATTTTAAAATTAAGTTAGAGTATAAGATGCAGCTGAGTTTTGGAGGCAATTTATCGAAAAGAAAAGTGTGTCATATAGACTAAAATACGGTTAGTAAAAATAAATTCAGTATCGGTAATAAGGTGTCTTGATTTTATTTGGGTTGCATAATAAAATGTATGATTATAAAGTCTGAGTTAATTGGTGATGCGGACCGCTCCTAATAATAAGATTGGAGACAATTTTAAATAAAAGAGAGATGCTTAAGCAAGAAAATTTCTGACAACACACTAAGCACACACCATCATGGATGACACATGGGTCAGTGTCTATTGTGCCAATTTATTTGTGTTCTAGATTATGCTACAGAAAAGTTTTGGTTATTTTCTTTATAATCTAACAGACATAATCTAATTCAATCATACACAAATGATGAAAAATATTTCTATTTATTGTAATAATGTATGCATCATAACCTTTTAATTTATTTATATTCTTTAATTTAATTTGTTAATAGTTAAATGCATACTATAAGACTCTAAAAGGAAATCTTGCAAAAGGAATTCTTGAAATTTTTTTAAAATCAATATCATTGTTACATAACATTTAACTATGACCATTCTACCCCCATGAAATGGGGACTCAGACTACCTGCCCCTCTCTTTAACATTTGTAATTTGTGGATGACCCCCACTAAGATTCATTTTATATTCTAAAACTGAGGAGAATGGTTCTCCTCAACTGAGAATTTTCATCTTGTGCATTGGTTGCAAAAGATGAAATACATACGTAGAGTAATACACAACATTACAGAAAAACTAAACAAAATTGTCCAAAACATTGTAACAGGTAATATAAAAATGAAGATGTATCTATTTTTCTTATTTCCAAGACGAACACAAAATTCTCCCAAATCCAAATTGATGGGACCTTCATTTCAGAATAACTTTTTCTTTTTGGGGGCACCGTATACAGAAAATAATTTCCAGCTTATTATATGTATGTAGTTTATAATAAATGATTCATTATACGCCCCCAAAATGCTTATCTAATGGAACGGGTGACAAAAGCTTCGTGAATTAATTGGTTTTTAATTTTCTTTCAGGTGAGTGCGCGGGAGCATCAACAGTTCCACCACTGATTAAGAAAGAAGTGCCTGCGGAGGTGCGTCAGCCAGTTCATGAACAGACCCACAGATTTGATCCTGATGACCGAGGCTCTCCGAAGGTGTTTATGGAAGTGGGGCGTATTGAACCACCTAGCACCACCACTGTGGTGCAGATGCCAGTGCCGGCCCCCGCTGCAGAAGGAGGGGGAGGAGGGGAAGGAAACAATATTGACCGCGTCAGTGAACCACCAGTACTGCACGTTGCCCTAAGAACTTCAGGGGCGGACAAGGCGTTCCAATGTTCGTGTGGAAAAGTGTATCGGCACAGCGGGAGCCTGTCGAAGCACATCCGTGTGCTTCGCAACCGACTGAGCACGCAGCCAAACCAATCTGGTTGCGGAAATGTTGGCAAGGTCAACACTGCGGTGAATGAGAAGGCCAGAGAGAACAATGCAACAAACGCAAATGTTAATTGTAACACAACTGACATGCAACCCAGGGAATTGAGTGTGTCTGCTTCGCAGAAGGAAGACAGCAGTGGACAGAATTTTGTACTCAACACTGGTTGTTTTCAAGGGGGTAACAACAACATCATCAACAACAATGGAAATACAAGTCCAAGTATGCAGAGTAATGTGACTGTTGGCCACTGCAATTCACTTGCACCTTTTCCACTTCCGAGCCAAGTTCAAGTCAATAGAACAGCAAATACGAATGTGCAATGTAACATAATGGACATGCAACAAAGCCAATTGGAAGTTGCTATTCCACAGGTGAAAAAAGAAAATGACTGTGGACAGAATTATGCATTGAATTCCATTGGTTTCCAAGGAAATAACAAAATTGCAGAGAACAGAAACGCAAACGTACAAAGTAACAAGGCTGTTGGCCTTTGCAACTCGCTCTCTGCTATTCCACCTTCAAGCCAAGTTCAAACACTTAGAACGACAAACATGACTGTACAGAGTAACATGACTGAAATGCAACATGGCCAATTGAAAGCAGCTATTTCACCGCTAAGCAATGCCAGCAGTGGACAGAATTTTGCACTCGGAGCTAGAGGTTTCCAAGAGAGTATTAACTCTATAAACAATGGAAACCTGAGCCCAAATGTACAGAATATTAAGACTATGGACCATGGTAGGTTTTTTGAAGCTGTTCAACCTACAAGTAATTTTAGCTCTATACTCTCTTCCGTTCCCCTTAGTAATAGCCCTGAACAAAATGGAATGAGAAATGTGGAGAGTAATATGAACGCCAGCCAGTACAACTCTCTCACAACTACTCAGTATGCGATCCAAGCCAACCCTGGCCCAGTCACACAAACTAGTGCTGCAGGCAGCAACAGTGCTGAACAAAATGAATTGAGGAACACGAATCATAATGGAATTGACAGGCAGTACAGCTCACTTGCAGCTAATCCACATGTGAGTCATTACAGCAGTGGACACATGAGTACACCAATCCCTGCTGTGCGAGTCACTAACAACACCGGACAAAATGGATTGAGAAACGCAAGTACAATTGGAGGTAACTCGACTGACAGACACTACACCTCGCTTGCAACTGTTCCACATGTGAGCCAAGTCAGCAATGGACATGGTGCTCTGACCGCAGTACAAGATAATGTCGGACAGAATGTAGGGAGAAACCCAAATGTAGATTGTAACCTAATTGTTGGCCAGTACTACTCAGTTGCAGCTGTTCCACAAGTGAACCAAATCTCGCCCAATAGATTCAATGTGTCGGATAATATCAGCAGTGGTCAGAATAGAATGAGTGACTCCAGTGTAGAAAATAACATGCCTGCCAACCAATACTCTGTCATACCTACTCCAACTCCAACGGTAAACCAAACTGTTAGTGGAGGATATTCAAGTGCTCCGGCCAATGCTGTGCTAATTAACTACAGTACCGGACAGAACGGGATTGGAAATGCGTACGTAGAAAGTAACTTGGCTGACAGACTCTACAGTCCACATGTAGGTAGTCTTCCTGTCAGTCAAGCCAGCAGTGGTCATGTCAACACGCTCATCTCTGGTGGACAAAGAAGCAGCAGTACTGCCCATAATGGGATGAGAAACACAAATTCAGAGAGAAATATGACCGATAGACAATATACCATGCTTGAAACTGTTCCACATGCGAGTCAAGCCAGTAGCGGGCTTATCAATGCCTTGGCCACTGCTGTGCGAGATTCTAATAGCTGTGTTCAGAACGGAACGAGGCTCTCAAACATGGAGAGTAACATGAGTGGCAGACACTATACTACACTCTTAACTGTTCCACCTATGAACCAAGCCAGCACTGAGCATGTTAGTACAGTCGTCAATTCTGTACAAGGTTCAATCAGCTCTGGACAAGACGGTACGAGGAACTCGAATATAGGAAGTAACGCAACTCATAAACATTACACCATGTTGGAAAGCGTTCCACATATGAGTCAAGACAACAGTGGGTACGTCAGTGCTCTGACCACACATGTGCAGAATAGCAGCACCACCAACCAGAACAGAATAAGAATCACTAGCGTGGAAAGTAACATGACAGTCAACCAGTATAACTCGCAGACAGGAACTCCTCTTGTGAGCCAAATCAACAAAGCACTGGCAAGTGTTATGCAAAATAGCAACAGGGCTGGAAATGAAATGAAAAATGTTTCTGCAGAAGTCAGCGTAAATAATTGGCAACAACAGGCAAATACAGTAGTTACAGGTAAATGTGACAACCCCATTGACAGAGCAGGGGCACGTGCAGGTCCCTTACGGCCATCCACAAAGATTGCAGCTAATAATCAGGTAGTTAAAAATGCTGGTTGCAATTTTAAGCTCTCTTCCAACAAAGTTCCTTCTTCATTAGAGGCCTGTTCAAAGGACACTGACCCCTATCGCTCAAAGTTCTCCAAGTTACCAGCATCAGAAGGTAGTGGGTACAATTGCTTTTGTGGTGTATCCTTCCAGAACTTAACAACCCTCCTTACACATGTAGAAAACCATTCTAAAGAAGAATTTGAACTGTATTCAACACAGGCTATACTACACATCAAGGACCCAGCTCCCAAAGATAATACAAATTTCTGCTCTGATTTATCCAACAAGTGTAATACTTGTGGAATTTGGTTTGAGGATAATGTTCAGCTGAATTTGCACATGGAAAGTCATGTAAAGGTAGATTGCAACGAACAGACAATATTGAACATCGAGGAAGACAATTTTATTAGCAGTTCCAACAATGATAGAGACAACAATGAGAGAACTTACCAATGTGCCATTTGTGATAAGATTTACAAGGAATTCACAGATCTAATGATGCATATGGAGATCCATCAAAAGAGCGTCACTGATGAACAGGAGACTGGGATCTGTAAGGGATGGAATGATGCAAGAAACAGATGTGTGAGGGAGACGCCTGAACCTCAAGAGATGTTGAACTACCAGTGTGGGCTCTGCAAAAAGCGTTTCAAAAAATTGCGCTACCTCACATCACACATGCGCTGTCACACAAAGACAACCTGCCCAGGAAAAACAAAGAAGTTCCAAGAGCCCTTAGTACATGGAAGGATCAATTCATCAGCCTGTGATGTTTCAATTTCTAACGATCCTGCAAAAAGAATGAAGATAACTCAAGTTCCATTAACTCAGCAAAAGAAATCTGTTAACAATATTACTTCAAGCAGTGGTAACAGTATACCTTTAACAAGTCTTGATCATCTCCAACAGAATAACATGCATTTGGTAAATTCAAAAAATACCATCAATACAAAAAGACCGTTCATCAGTACAAAGCCAAACCACCAATATAAAAAAACAGTCCTTACCATGGAGCGTGGTACTTCTACACATCCAGGTAAGCTTAAACCCAGAAATTGTGTAATAAAAGATCAGTAACCTCATACAAGTAACCTCATACACGTCTTCAAACCATCTACATTTCATGTAGAATAGAATGCACATGAATGTGTTTCAGAGTCAACCCAATTAGTGAACCCTGTAAAATTTCGGATTGTGAAATAAAAATTACTTGTCAGTGAATAACTTCATGTGTACACTGTGACCAAAATAAGATTTGATGCGGCAACAACTTGATTGATATATTACGTAAATCTTCTGTGTGTGTGTTTTCTCTTCTTTTTCTTTTCCAGCTTTCTAAACCATATATTTTATTCTTAACACCATAACAAAAATAGTTGTTTATGATACAAGTGGTGAATTAATACATACTATTTTTATTTTGTGAGTAGGAATGGCTGTGACCCAAGGCTTGGTGGCACAATCCTGAGAGCAAAATAAAATCATTTTTACCACATGTGTCATACACTATTTTGTAGACAGCCTTATTTTATTCTTTGTCCATTTTCCCCTTTCTGTTCTTTTTGACCTTTTAGTTCGTTTTGTCCTTTGTTGGTTATTTTTTCCCTTCTGGTCAGATGAAGGTGTTGCGTTTATAGATCTCTCAGAACACTTGAGCTAGTGCTAGAAATTTTAACTTTTAGCATTCTAGGGATGCTCTGAAAGAACCGCTTTTAGTAGTGGCTGTGAAAAAAAAATGTTATTGCTGAGAGAACTTCTCGCTTTCATTTGACTAAAATACCAAAAGATTTTTTTTTTTTCTTTTTTCCTCAAAATGTAATCGGTTCTCTAAATAAGGCCGTGCACACCTTTCAACTTTTTTTTTTTTTTTGCATGAAAGAGTTTTTTAAACAGTATTTTCCCAAAACTGTTTCAAATAATTTTTCCTGTAAATTTTTTCCTTGAAAGGGCAGTGCTGGTCCCATTTTTGGTGCAATATTTTTGAAAATTGGAAAAAAAAAAAGTTAACATTGCAAAAGTTTTTGTTTCAGTAATGGATTAATCAGTGCCTTGTACAAAATTTCAAGTTGCTTATTTTTGACATTGTAAATTTACAAAAGCAGTACTTTACCTATTTATTTCTATGGGTAGAAAGACTTGTCATGGAATTTGACTTGTCAGTTTTCACTGGGTGCGACGTGCATATCAATACACTGTGTACAATGTTTTCTTCTTTTTAGTTGTGTTCTGATTGTATTGAAAATTATATTTGTTCCTTTCTAGATACTTGTTCCACAACTGGTGGTCCAATGTCAATTAGGGTACAAGCTGCTCTTACTGACATAAGTCAAGAAGCGAATAGAAGAACCAACGAAAACCATGAAGACATTGGGAGTCCTCCGACTGCCACAAGTGTCACCAAGGCCGCTACACTCTCTGGAGAAAGCAAAACTTTTTCCTGTATATGCGGAATGGTGTTTAGAACATCATGTGCGCTTGCTGCACACACCACCGATCACATAGGAAGGCGAGAGTACTTTTGTGATATTTGCGGCAAGTTGTTTAGACAGAAGTGCATCCTGTTGTCGCACTTACGTTATCACAGTTATCAAAAGGCATACAAATGTTGCAAGTGCAGCAGATCCTTTGAACGTCACAGTGATTTCATGGCCCACAAGCGTCTCTACAGGGTAAATGCCAGTTGCTATGTTTGTCGGAAGAAGGTAACGCGGGCAGTGTGTGGGGCAAACCACACGCTCCCATTTCAGAACAAAACGTTTTTGTGCGTTGATTGCAATGGCTCAACCGTGCCCGATAATCCAGATGAGACCAGGGATAAATTGGGTAGGTTTACGCGCAAACACGGCAGTTCATCAGGTGGTGTTGGTGGAGAAATCGGTGATAAAGGTGAATCAGAGGCAACAAAAAGTGTGTTGTCGTGCACCATTTGCAAGAGTGTATTTACAGACAGCAAGAGTTTGCTCATTCATTCACATTCTCATTTAGGTGAGTACAATACACTCAAAATAGGTCAAGAGTAGTGATTACACAATATTCATAATAGTTTTAGATTATCTTTTTATTTACTTATTATTTTACTTTACAGACAATTAATGTCCAAAGTAAGAAAAATGGAAAAATGTTGGAAGTTGTAGATATTGAATTTTTCAAAACCTTCCTTCTGCCAGTAAATGTAGAATTTTATTAGAATTATCAATATTGTTAGTAAATTTGTGCTGGCAAATGTTTAATTTAGCTCGATTATGATTATTCCATTTCAGTCCCGTCTTTTGAAACTATTCAGTGTCATGTTGGGCTAAATTTTGAACATTTTGTAGATGTTTAGTTTTGTGCAAATATCAGTTGTCAATGACACTTGCCAAATTAATAAACAACGTGGTATTCTGTCCTGCATGATACTGGCTACTTTTAATTTGGAATCTAAAAGCAAATTGTCCATTTCTAGGTGAATGTGCTGTGCTCCTGGAACGCTTGAACACCGCAGAGATTTATAAACGAAGCTACAATTGTGGGAGGAATGAAGGAACAGTCAAAGTAGCTTCCTCCCATCCCCCCAAGGCATCTGCAGCAGGCATCCAAATATCCAACAGGCTCTCCAAAGCAGTTGGGAAAAAAAGGTTCACATGGAAATGTCGCTGTGGAGGAGTTTTCAAATGGCGCAGCTCTATGAAGAAACATCTGTGCAAGTACACAGGTCATCAGTGTGTTGTTTGCCGGAGACTTTTCAGACGGTTTGCATCCCTCAGGGACCACATGAGATCACATACTGGGAGGAGGAAGTATAAGTGTACCACTTGCACCGAGTCGTTCTCACGGTTACGTGACCTGGAAGTGCATCAGCATTGCCATGCTGAGAAAGCGCCAATGGGGAATGTGGAAGCGTGCAAAGCAAATTCTCAGATTGAGCCTGATGAAGCAGAGAAAGGTTCTGAAGAACTTGGTGAGCCACAAGAAAATCATGGTTCAAGTGAGGTTAATAGTCTTGAAAAGGAAAATCCAGGTAATACCAATTTGCTTCAACCACCAGGTCCAAATCCCATTAGTTTACTTGGAAATGAAGGCCCAAATTGTACCACTTTTCCTGAAAATTGCATACAGAACGGTGCGATTCATGGCCTTGTAGAACAATCAACTCTGCCTGCTTGTTCACCATCAGATGTAGGTAGGGATCGTGCATTGGATTGTGAAACAAAAGAGGATTGTGGTGCAAAGAGATTAGAGATTCAATCACACAAAGAATGTAATTTAGAGAAAACAATCAGTGGTAATGTGAATCCACAGCTGTGCTGCAGACAACAACTAACATCCTCTGAAGGTGCAAGTCCTGGAGAAGACAAATTAAAAGGAGTTAAACCAGAGCCATCTTTCTTACTAGAGTTTGACAAACAACTAAATGAATTGCAACTTGCCCTAAGTACTGAGGATTCTAATTCTAAGACTGGCAGCATTGAAGGTACTCGAGAAGTGCTGGGTTGTGGTATTACACCTGCTAGATGCCATTCTGCCCCTGTTGAATATTTGAACCTGCAGGTGAAGCAGGAACACTCTATGGACTCAAACAAAAATTTCCAATTGAATCCACACAAGAAAGAAAGTCAATTTGGCAGTGAACAGTCGAATGATGGTCAGAGCACAACCTTGCAAGTGGGCCTTGATTCTGAGGGAGAATGTGTTGAGAGTAAATTTGACCCGAAAACAATGAGTAGCGACTTAAAATCCAATGGAAGTGATCGCATCAAGAAGGAATTGACACTTGCCCAGCCTTCGGAGAAATCTTTTTCAACTGTAGAAAGTGGTGGGGGGTCAGCATCTCGCCCGGAAGTCGATCGTATGGCTGTGAATTGTGGTGTTAATTCACTCCAAAATTATTGTAGCCAGGAAACAGTAAAACAGGATGCTGAGCAAACAAATAAGGATAAAGATTTGCTTTCGATTAATGATAGGGTTGTCAAAAAAGAAAACCTTTTTCAAGTCTGCAAACGTGAACCAGATGCACAGCCTCCCGGAGAAAGTGAAAAAGAAGACGACAAGACTTTGGGTGCTCTTGAGTTGCAGCAAATTTGTCCTTCAAAGAAGACAGCCCTTGTCGACCTTGTATCGGATGATGAGGACCAGCACACGACTTCAGGGTCCCATTTACATCCATGTAAAAAGCATTGCTCTGAGAAATTGAGGTCTGACCTTTGTGAACATACAAGCAAAATGCCAAGTTCCTCTCCAAAAGTGTATCAAATTTGTGATTCAGATGTTGAGGAAGAATCGGTGAGCCATCCATGTCCACAGTCAAAGAGCGAGTCTGATGATGTAATGTTAGTGGAAGAAACAAGCAAAAAAAAGAAGCCGCCTCCAGAAGTGTATGAAATTTCTGATTCGGACGAGGAGGAAGGAAAAGAAGGTAATCATCGCTGTTCAAAGGCACAGAGTCCTTACGTTGATCAAGAGATCACACGCTCGCACTCGAACAAAACTTTGTTTGAAGCAGGTCAGAATTTGGTGCATGATGATCACAAACCATCCTTAGACGCAGAAACAAGCTCTTTTGCTTGCGACGTCTGCATGAAACCCTTTCCAGACTCTGATGCACTGCAAGTTCACAAACACATATGGGTAAGTAAGGAAATGACTTTTACATTTGCTGTATTGGCATGTTTTGCAATATTGCTCATTCAAAGCTAAAAGTGGACCTAAGGCTGTTGTGTGTAAACGAGTCTGGAGCATTGCAAACATGGAGATAGGTAGTGAATGAGCGTGTTCAACACTAATTGTTATTACAAAACATTCACTGAAGTAAAAAAAAGAAGATATAAAATAATAATAATGAAACCTAATAACAGTAACAATAATAATAATAATAATAATAATAATAATAATAATAATAATAATAGTAATAATAATAATAGTAATAATAATAATAACAATAACAATAACAACAACAACATTAATAGTAATAAATAAATTTTTATATTGGTTGGCTGAAATTAAGTGAAATCAATCTTAATGCAATATCAGCCTCGTGCCCTGAATTTTCAATCAAGATATTAAATTAGTCAATTGATTAACCAACAACATTTAATGTCAATTGAATTTTTCATTTAGTACTTGCATATATAAAAAATAAGAATAAGTGATTGATGCAAATACAGGGAATGCAAAAATGAAAATAGGACTAAGAATACAAAACTTGAATTATATCTTGAATCTTATTGTGCTTGAATGCTTGCATGTTTCTGGCTTTTAAACATCAAACTGGAAGAGAATTTCAACTTCTCAGTTAGAGTATGAACAGATTTTTATGAATGCATGAATAAGAATTTAAACTTAACTGGAGAAAACCATGATATAATTATTCATTTAAACAGAAAAAAAATGCAGCATTACGTAACTTTCTGTATACTGTGTGTGTTACTCCATATATATACATTCGTATTAAAGAAACAAAAGAAAAAGTTTCCCAATGTTTTGTATCAACCGTGAATTTGTTCCCTGACTATGATACTGACTTGGTGTTGTCCTTTCAGTGAAATACAGAACACTACATTAATGTTCATTATCGATTTGTTGTAGATTATTGGCTAGAATTTGATGGAGAAACTTGCTTCAATTGGGTCAACTTGTCTCGTGGTTCCTTTGACCTTTACTTAGGCAACCGGAATCCATTTGACCCAGAAACCAAATTTTCGATATATTACATGTCTACTACAAAAGATACAAGAATAGTTTGTTGTTTGTTTTGACTTATTCTTATTGTTCTTCACTTTTACTCTTAAATTTTATAAAAGTATAACTAAACAATGATTTAAAAAATCAACGTAATTTTTCCGGCTGTAATCTCGGAAGCACGGTCCAGTGGTGCCAGGGTGTCATTTTCTGTGAGAAATTACATTTTGTGTGTTTTGTCTTAACTGTTTTTTTGAAAATTGTATCCTGAGAGAGTTTCAGAGGGATGCCAAGCGTTGCAATGTCTTTCATAAGAAGGTTATTTGGCACTTATGCCCAACTAGTAAAGTACCTGATGTTGCCTGGGCTTTCTTCATAGCCAATTCTTGTGAAAGAGGAAAAAGATACCTTTTATATAATGGACTCTTTAAGATTTCTGTTTTTAATTTCAAATTTTAATAAAATACTATAATTTTCTTTCGTTTTATTTTACAGTACATTTAGATTGAAAATTTTTATCTTATGCATTGCTACTGGCTTCTAGTGAATATATTAAAAGGTACCAGTTCTGCTGCACCACTGTGGGCCTCTAGCAGAACGTTTTGGGAACTAATCATTTCTTAGCAACTAGGGAAAAATAATAATTGTGGTGCATCTAACAATATATTATTTAAATTATTTATTTCTGCATTTGTGTGGTATTAATCTGTGCCAAACTTAGCAAGGACACTGCAACAATGTGGAAGAAGAGCTTCAGCTATTCATCTAGTACTTTTTGAGGTTTTGATGTCATTTACATATCGTTGAATTAAGTTTTTATTAGTATAGATAATGCAAATCAGAGAACGGCACAGTAACTTTATTTCGACGGCCAGTCATTGGGAAATTGTCAGTTATAATTTTGAACTCTTATGAAGTTAATACAGGTGAGGCCTGACTTATTGACACATTCCATAAGATTAAAACTATTTTTTCTCACAAATATGCATTGCTCAGAAGCGATATTTATTTTGCGATTTCCCTGTAAAATTAATGTTGTGTATTTATACCTAGTACAAATATATGAATAGTTGCTATCTACAATGCACAATAAAAGTACCATGTCAAGGAATTGAAATCTGTATATTATATGTGGTAAAAGAACTAAAAGTCAAGGAAATGAAATGATCTGGACCTATTCATACATATCTACTAGGTAAAAGATCACTGACTAAAGATTCACTGAGTTGTTTTTTTGTTTGTTTTTTGTTGTTGTTTTTTTGTGTGTGCTTACACTGGATGTGCTATGTACATCAAATGGAGAAACATCATTTGGGAATGTAATATAAATCAGACAGGCTTAACTAAATTTTTCTTAGCTAAAAAAAAAAAACAACTTTCTTTGAAAACTCCATTCCTTTTAAAATGGTTTCAAATAAAATAAATCTTTTTATTTTGTGTATTTTGTGTAATGTAATATTAATTAAAAACTCAAATTTAACCACTGTAATCACAGACAGGTTCAAAAAACAACTCAAACGTAAAGTAAAATATTCACAATAAAATACAAATTTCGTTTGCTAGTATGCCTATTTACAACTCGAATACAAAACTGGGGTTGCTACAACAGCAGAGACTTTTAAATCTGCATTAAAAAAAATTAGAGTTCAATGAAAATGAACCCCTTGCATTACTTTTAGGGGTAAGTGTCATTGTCTATTTGTAGGGGAGGGACTTGAAAAAACTTTGAGCGTTTTTTGAGAAAATGCTTTTTTATAGATTGCATTAACATCAAGCTCAAATTATGTGATAACTACTCGTTTCTTCAAAAAATGGAAAGCCTACATGACCCATTTGAAAGAGCTGATTTTTAACAACAGACTTTGTCTGAGGCAAGAATCATTATTTTCAATTTTGTAGTTTTGAAATGTTACATTTTGCAATTTTCAAAAATTTAGTGAGTTTGCTGAAAATGGACTTACGCTTTTTTTTTTTTTTTTTTTTTTTTTTTTTTTTTTTTTTTTTTTTTTTTCCGGCCCTGGGTGCATTTAAGGAGAAAATTTAAAGAATTTGTTTGTCATATTAAGAGAGAAAAATTGTTTTAAAAAAATTAAAAATTCCCTTTATTCCATGCAAAATTACGAAAAAATACTTATATTTTCAAACATGTATACCTGACCTTTTGTTTTGTACCTTTACCATAAAGTGTCATAAAATTGCACTTTTACAATTTTTGAAATATATGGGAATTTAACAAACATGAGATCTGCACCATTCTCTTAAGAGTTCTTTACATTGCCCAAGGACAAATTTAATCAAAAATTTTGGTGCCATTTTGACAAAATTTTGAAAATGGTAACAAGGCTTTTTGTCGCACTCTCAAAAAATAAAATATCTCAATGAAACTCAAAAGCCTCGAGTTAGTTCTGTTCGACCGATGTTTACTGTCAATCGATTTTTCGGTATCAGTAAGGTGACTCCTCATTGATACCGAATCATCCTCCTTTAGGGAGGACATTCCTTTATTTGTAGGTTCTGTCCTTCCTTGAAACATATCCCTCTACATGTCCTCCTTTTTGATATTTTAAAACTTATATGGTAATGTAGTTAATCAAGTTAAAAATCACAATTGAATATTGGTACTGTAGCTGCAGCTGTACAAAAATTCAATATGAAGGCTATTTCTTGCTCCAAAATTTCCAATATAATGTTCGAAAATTACCTTTCGACAAAAAAGATATTCATTCAGTGGAAACTTATTGGTTTAATTAAATAATTAAAAGGAATGTAAGCATAATTAGTGTACATTTGTGTGAATTATTAAAATATTTGATTTATTTTCATTGTACTTTTTTTTTTTTTTTTTTTTAATTCATCATCTTAGTATGAAGGGCCTTCAAATCATGGATTCTGGCTACACCATGTGTTAAGGAAGTAATTGGCCATTGATTGGAAACAGGATTTATCCCATTTTCGTTACCTGTCCCGGGCAATAAGAATTTTTCTGCCAAAAATTTCCCATTTTGCAGTGCACAATTACATATCTTCCTCGTACAAAGAAAATGTGAGAAAGTAATAATGTTATAGTAAAATGCAAATTTGTTTTGCAATTTTACCTCATCACAAATTTATTTTGTTATCCAGAAATGTAATGAAAAAAAATTACTTACTGGTAATGATTGTGTGAGTTTGAAATACTAAAACTAGAGGACATGTTAATCCATGGAAGTACCATGAATATATTTGTATATGTGTGTGCTTGTGATCAGCTTTGAGTTTTTATAATTAATATTTCAATTCATAAAATTAACAGCATTTTTATTTCATTAAAATAATCCTTAAAAAACTGTTCAGATGTTTCAATGTTTTTAAGGAATTTCAAGTTTGTTTGTGTGTGTATGTGTATTTTGTGGATTAGTGTTTTGGGCTGGACACAGTTTACTATCCTATAGTACTCACAGGATAATTTGGAATAACTCTCTCTTTGAATGGTCTGGGACAGTCGAATATTTTGAGTATTCAGTGGAAATAAACAAACATACATTTAACAGCCAACCATATCAACCTTTGCATTTGCGTTGTCAGGCAAAACATAACCTTTTTCATTCATGCGGTCAGGTAATAAAGTTTGTTTTACCATAGTTTACTTTGTACATATCTTGCTGTTTTGTACTCTTTTGTTGGGATTAAATTAAAGTTTCGAATACTAGCAAAACAAGTTTGTATTGTCAGTTTACTTTAGTACTTATGTACTGAAATATTTCCAGATATATTCAAAACAACAAAAACTAAGCCACTTTTTAAAAAAGGGAGTAAAAATTAAATTCAAAATTATTGGCCAATTTCTCTTTTGTCAGGTTTCTCTAAAATATTAGAGAGGCTTTTCTATACGCGAATGGAAACTTTACTCAGGAAAAATGAAGTGTTTTCAGTCTCACAACACTGTTTTAAAAAATCGAAATCTACAGAAGGTGCCATTTTAAAAGATGTTGCTTCATCATGGTCCAAAATGAAGCACTCATTGGAATATTTTTAGATCTTTCCAAAGATTTTGATGTTATTGACCATAACATCTTGCTATCAATATTACCTCTTTGTGGAATTGATGGTACCACCCTAGATTGGATAACCTTGTTCCTTAAACGTTGATCTCAAAGAGAACCAATACTGCACTGGCATGACAGGACATTATTTACTTATCTTTCCCATTCTTTACCAATTGAATATGGGGTCCTGCAAGACTTGATCTTAGGTCCTATCCTCTTTCTGTTGTATGTAAACGATATGCCCTCGTTTATAAAAAAAAAGAACAGTTCTATTTACCAATGACACAAATGTTCTTTGCAAAGAAGAAACAATAAATAGTATGATTTCAGAAGTTTCAAATTGGTTTTGTAATAACAAATTAATCATGTTCTACCCGTCATCATCATGTTCTACCCAGACCGTTAGATTGCAAAAGAAAATTATTCGAATAATGAAAAATGACATCCGCGTTACTCTCGCAACCCTCTCTTCATTGACCTTAGAATCTTACCACTGCCTTGCCTATGTATTTAAGAATCTGTAATATTTGTGAAAACTGACTTGCTTAATGGTGGGAACATATTTTCATGCATTATTGATATTTATAATTACAACACACATAGAAATCACGTTCATCAAGCATCTGTATCAACAGCTCATTACCAGAAATCCACATACAATGCTTGTTCATTACTTTACAACACATTGCCAGCCAATATTAAACACTTGAAGTCGGCTCACAAATTAAAGTTAAAAGTAAAATATTTTCTCCTGCGTAACATGCATACAATTGCGCTGCTTACAATTGGAGACTATACTGGTCATCAAAGAGAAAAATAATGTTTATTTTAACAAATCAGTGATATGTAATGAATTTGTTTACATTTGTATTGTATACGTTTTTTAAAAAGACTTAATGTGCTTGTAACAAATAATGTATTTCAGCTTCCAGGTCAATGACCCTCATCTCGATCAGGTTTTCGTCTAGTTTCCCTGATTCATTGAGCAAATGCTATGATGGTCCCTTGTTTTGCTTCTGGACGTAAATGTAGCTTGACTATGCTCAGTTGTTGAACTCTCCTTTTGCTTGTTAGCGAGTTACTATTTTGTTAGCAATGCAGAAGAGTCAAACCAGTAGTTTGTTTACTGTTGCAAATTAATTTTCTATTTCGCGGGAACGAAAATGTCTAGTTTTTCAAATGTTCCTAATCTTGCGCTTTTTTAAATTTTATTTTTATTTATTTATGTTAAACTTTTACTTATCCTTCAACTATTTATAGTTAAAATAATGGCAAGGGATTCTAAAAATGATACACTTATATTATTATTATTATTATTATTATTATTATTATTATTATTATTATTATTATTATTATTATTATTAGTTTTTAAAAACTTTTTATATTCAAATTGTGTTGGAAATAAAACATTGTTTCAAAATTCATCAAGTTAGAGTACTAAATTATACCTTGATTCACAATCAATTTACCTAGACTTCACTTTGTATTTTGTATCAGCATTCACTTACAATTCAAATGAAGTCTGCAAATGAAGTAAATCAATCGCTAGATAATTATGCATTTGAATAAATAATCAACCCAGTCGATCAGTCCTAAGTTATCTTTGTGCCTTTAGTTCAGTCAATACTAATAATCGAATTAAGTTGGTGCCAGCACACTTTTTCTTTTATACTATATAGAAACAAGTTGCTGGAGACCACTCATCATTTTCGAATACTTGAAGTATCATCATTCAGTATATTAATAAAGTTTAATAATAACTAGTTTTGAAAGATTAAAATCAATGTATAATTTGTTGCGTTAAACACAAGTTTGGCATTATAAAACATAATAGGTTTAAATTTACAGTGAATAAAAAAAATGTGTTATTATTGATCACTGTTGTATGCAGGTGACAGTTATCACTAAGGTGCATAATGAATATTGAGTGAATAGTTCAAAATGTATTCCCTGACCACTCAGCTTCTTAGGCTATTCAATAGGTTGTTGTTGTTGTTGTTGTTGTTGTTGTTGTTGTTGTTGTTTTTTCCCTCCCAAATGTCAATAAAGATTTAAAATCTGAAATGCTCATCTTGTGTGTGTTTTCATTTCAATTTTAAAAAAAGTATTTTAATTTTGTTCACAGGGGAAAGTGCCTTGTAACATTAACAAGTGGCGAACCACTACACAGAACAAACCGAAAAGTGAGAAGGGAGCAGAGACAATTGGAAGTGCTGGGAGAGTAAAGCGTGAGAGTATGATGGGAGAAGAATCAAGACCTAGCTCTGCCCCAGAGAGCACGCAGACTTCCGGTGAGAATTTGCGTGAGTGCCCCTGCTCAGAGAAGACACAGTGTTGTTGTAAAAGCAAATGCCAGCGCCAGGAGCACCGAGACAAAGCGACAGGAGTGCATGTGTGCAGGGCTTGTGGGAAGTCGTTTGCGCAAAAGGATTTTCTCATCGACCACTTGCACGAGCATATCGATGGAAGGAAGTACCGATGCAAGTATTGCAGCAAGACGTTCCAACGATCCGTGAAGTTGGCTGTGCACAAACTGCGATGCAGCCAGAGGAAGATGAGCGCGAAAAAGGTTAAACCTGCCAGCGACGATGATGATGTTGAGACAAACAAAGGAACATCATTTCCTAGATCATTTGCTGTGCCGTTTGTTGGCGTTCAGCCTCAAACTGTGCCTATGTTAGTTTCTGTCCCCGTGCTGGTGAGCAGTGCAATGACTTGGGGCAATATTGTTACTCTGAGATGAAAATGTGAATTCCAAAGTACTTTGTTGGTTGTACGTACAGTGATTATAAGTGGAGAATTAGATTTTCTATTTTCTTGTGCAATGTTCTAGTTTTCATGTTATGAACACTTCAAAAAGAATATTCAACAATACAATTGCATATAGTGTTTTGAATGTTTGAATGTGCTTATAGTTGCTTTCTAATAATAATGTATAGCATAAAATGTATTTGAATTTGCATGAAGTTTTCATGTTATGTACTGTTTAAAAAGAAGTGTATATAATTTGAAAACTACCTTATTCCAGGTAGATTCAATTAATTCTGAAAAACTAATTAACTGATATGAGGCATGTTACCTTAAAGCCATTGCAAACATTTCTGTTAACATATTTGGGAGCATGGAACATGCTTCATTGAAATTTTTATCTTTTATATTATAAAGCAGTTTATCATGATGTGTAAGAAATTTCTCAATTGTTTTTACTGTCATAATTCTGTTGTAATTCTGTTTTAATTGATGAGAAATATTATATTGTTCAAAATATTATTTTGTTGAACCAAAGTTGAAGTAAAACAGATTTGTGATATATACAAGATGAGACAAAAACTTAATATTAAAAATAGAAATGAATAGTGCTAGAAAAAATTTAAAAACTTAAAATGATAATGGTAAAGGAGGAAATTTGAAATCTTATAAAGAGCTCATTTGTAAATCTAGTTCTTTCTCTTTTCTTTCTGTCTTTTCTTTCTTTTTTTAATGCTTTCTTAGTATCTAACTATTGAATAATATAGTTATCTGATTGGTTTCCACTGAAATGTAGTTTTTATTTGAAATGCTTTTAAGTGCTTTTCTGGTAATGATTTGGAATAACTTTTGCATGTTCTTGAAAAGCTGCAAAAGAACTTATATTTCGTACAATTGTTGGAAATTGTTGTATTGTATCTCTTATTTTGTTTTGAAATTTGTTGTTCGTCGAAAAGCAAATGATAAGTTAAGTTAAAATTTTCTTGGTCGTGTTAAATGTTCTTGCATAGTAACTGCACCTACTCAAATAATGAATTCCAAAACTTGAAATTTTCGGAACTATTGTGATATTGTATAATTGATTTAGTGTAATGATAATTAAGATTTATTATTTGACAGTGATATTATTTATCTTTTTAAAGAAAACATTCATCGAACATTTCACAACCCCAAAATTGCATAAGAATTTTTGACATTTTGAGGAAAGAAAAAAATATTTCACATGATTTTTCTGTTATTATGTGCATCTTAAAACAATATTCTTAACAATGAAAATTCATGATTTAAAAATTTTTAACTCATTTTAGTACTTTTGAGTACTTGATAAAAACAATTCTATGATGTGCAAAAAGTTGCGTTGCATGAGAAATTTGAGATAATGTTGCTTTAGATTTCTTCATAAGTTTAGACATTATTTGTACAGAAGTAGTCTTATGATTTTTGGTAAAAAAAAATAATTCTATTATAACTGAGATGGTGTAATAAAGTTAAGTCTGCGGTGGCTCATGTGCTTTTCTTAAGTGGAGGAAAGAAGCCAATAGCAAATACTGCTACATTAAATGAAACCTACAACAAATTAGTGGTATGTGTCATTTAAATAAACATATAATGTTAATTAATCTGGTCAAAACAAGTTTATTTTGCTTATCATGTACATTGTGCTTCGCACAAGAAACTGTCTGCTTTGTTTAATGCTAAAGCTATGTGATATTAATTTTTTAACATAAAGTATTAATTTTAGTGAACAATCCAGATGTTCCCAAGATTTTTCATTTTTTTGAATTCTGTGACCTAAATTTTGAATGTCACTGAAACCCATAAACTCAAATTTGAAAATAGAATGCTTGGAAAACAGAAGAATTTGTCTTTGTTCACACCTTGTTAACAAAGATGCTTTATCATTTCATATCATGGAAAATTACATTTTCTCTCTCTTGCTAGTGCCTCCTAAAAGCTCTGGTTGGGTATAAGTCAGACTTTCTTTCTGTACAACAGCAATCTGTCTGATCTTCTTACCCGACTTTCCTAAATTGACAAAAATATTTTTAAATAATTAAATAGCATTTATAAACTATCAAAACGAAAAATCAATTCTAAGAAATAAGTGCTCGACAGTGTAGTGCAGCTGGCTGTCATCACATGAAATTATTTGTGAAAGGCTAGAAGAATATGCTTTCTTTAAGCAATCCCTCTTCACTGACTGGATATCAATATGCCTTGTAAAGGAATCACACTGTCACCTTGGACAGGGAGGACTTGGAAAAGGGAGGGAGTCACGTGTCAGTTCGAATTTCTTAAGTCACTGGCCAGCCTCTACCAGACTGCAATGCTTCCACAGTGAAAAATGAGATAACATTGTATGAGGGAGAATCAAATGAAAACCGCAATTACTTTTTTCCACTATTTTATTTGCGAAGAGAGTTTCTACTTGTATGAGTTGTTATTTTTCTAGATAGCCCCTTCCACATTCAATTTAATTATGCCATCGGGTAGAAAGTGCTTCGATACAGCCTATAACATGTTTGGTTGACGTTCAGCCACTTGTGCATTGCCAATTGGGCATCTTCATCAGACTTGAACGTATGCGCTCCAAGGTACTCGTTAAGGGGCCAAAGCAGTAGTAATCTGATAGTGCCAAATCTGGTGAGTAGGGCAGCTGTGGAAGGCACGTGAAGTGTAGGTAGTTTCATTCGAATCATGAACTGAATACAGACGGGCGTTATCACATTGAAAAAAACACGCCAGCACTCAGCAAACTCCTCTGATTGTGTGTATCGCTGGCTTCAAAAGATTCTTGAGAAGGTTAGAGTATTTTGCTCTGGTCTCTGTGGTATCTTGGGGACATGTAATGTACCATAATATGATTGTTCTTATCCCACAATAAAATCAACATGACTTTTCCAGCAGAAGATGCTATAGACTCCTCTGTTGCCACACAAGGAGCTTCACTTAAATAGTCGTACCTTCTCTAATTTTCTTACACCACACATAAACTTGCCGCTGTGATAGACAGGCGTCCCCTTACTTCGTCTTCATTCTCTGATGAATTTCAACTGGTATCACATCTTCACTCCATAAAAATCTAATATCCCCATTGTGTTTTTTGGTGCATCTGTGTAGTGGTGCCGCCAGTTTGAATCAGCTGTTATTCAGCTCTAACCGCATCCACTGACACTGCTTTATATGCGGTACGGTGGAAAGACATCAAGGTCTGTGCTTGCAAATTTTCAAATGCCTAAAGAGGGGAAAATATTTTACTTCTGTGGTTTTCATGCCAGAACTTATTTTATGTATTTAAATACTCAAGTGGTTTTCATTTGACTCTTCGAAGTCCAGACCCTATAGTTAGGCATGATCAAACTTGATTCTTCGCTTTTGGGCACCCAGTGTTGATGCAAATAGCTGACAAGATTTGAGTTTATAGGAGGAACTCTTCCTCCAGGCTGTGGAACAGCAAAACATTTCTTCTTCTGGTCAGTGCAGCACCTTACCATTTGGAGGATTACTACAGGAGAGGAGGAAACGCCGAGAAATCCTCGGAGCGATGTCTGGATTTTGGATTGCTTAAAAAGGGAGCACAGTTTAAACTCTTTATCAGCGGCAATTATCTGTTAACTAATAAATTAAAAATTAAACTTTTCCCTCCTATATCAGAGGAAAAATATTATTCAGTAATTACATTCAAAAGAAGACAACTTATGCAGAGGGTGTTACTTCCTTCCCTCCCTTGAGAAACTGACACGGAGTTGAGATGATGAATTTTGTTGAAATGTCCGTTGCAGCTAAATAACTCAATTTTATTATCAGTATGATTTATATGAAATTGTAAAATTGTTGTGTGTCAAATTGCAAAAAGGAGAATGATTCTCAAGAATTAAACATGTAGGATAAGAATTTTGTTAAAATAAGACTGTAAAAATGTGTGGAATTGTATTTATTGAATGTAATTCTCTTAATTAACATGTAATGATTAACTGCAATTATATCCAATTATATTCCGATTTAATGAACTAACTGATTTTAATAATTATAGGGAATTGGATGTTGGTGATTTCATTTCTGTATTACTTTGTCATTAATTTGATGTTATCACTATGTTCTTAAATTAGAAAAGATGTTTGATATATTTCATCTTAATGAAAATTACTTTACAAATTAAATTTTTATTGAAGTTCTGTGACACAGACTCTTCATAATACTCAGACTGTTATAAACAAAGACTTCTCATTGTGTATCAAGCAAAATGTAGAGGGTACATTAATGCAAGAAATTATTTATTCAGGAATCTTTTCTGGAAAAAAACCCATACAGGAATTTATATCGGTGTGAATGAGATTCATTCACTTTCAGGGCAGAATTTATGGCCAGGCAGAATCGAGTGATGAATTATTAGGTATCCTCAACGTTATACTTGTAGGTTCCACAAATTCCTATAAAAATGGCATGTGCTTATGGAAATGCCCTAATCGTAATTAAGCTGTGGATTTATAGGCACATTAAACTGTAGCAATAGGAAGGCAAAATATGCTTTTAAAAAGGCACTATAATTTTTGGTTATCCTTATTTATATACTTGTACAGTAAGTTTATGAAGTAAACAATATAGTAACCATCATTGAATGTTTGCTTTCATCATTGTTCTTGCAAATCCTCTTAGAAATCCTTCTATCATTGTTGGGCATTTCAGACAAAAACAGCTGAATCGCAATGGCTACTTTTTTGCCTTTTATTAAAGGCGAGCTGATACTCTAATACTGCCAGTAATATTAATGATCTTTTTCCTCCCATTTAATTTAAACAATTGAAAACATTGTTTGATTTGCTTTAACCGGCATGCATAAAAAAAACTGTAACTAGTGGTGTTAGATAAAAATGTACTTTCTTGCATTATGTCCAAAAAAATATTTCAAAATTTGCACTTTTCAAAAATTCCGAATTTAGTGCAAATGAGACCTGCACCTTCTTTGAAGCGCTCTGTTCTAAAGGGGGGGGGGGGTAAAGGAAATGTTTAACAGTTTTTGAGGGTGGTGTTTTTTTACTATTTGCATTAATTTCAAGTAGAAATTCTGCAAAAGTCACTAGTTTAAAAATTATTTATAATTATATTATACACACACACACACACACACAAGACCTTTTTTAATGATCTGCAATTCTTGAAAATACAGAGAATTCACTGAAAATGCAACTAGCTTCATATTTTTATACCATCCTTTGATACATAGAATAAAATTTTAAGAAAAAACTTGCAGCAATTTTTGGGAAAAAATTTAAAATAAAAAAATAACTACTACCATCAGTGATTTTCACAGGTTTCATAATATGAAATAAGCTAGCACTTATTACCTAACATTGTGGTTGCAGTAAAATAGAACATAGATTTATCAATCTTTGTTCAATTTTTCTCAAATCTGCAGGATAACAAAGGAAAAAACTGACATTTCTTAAAATTTTTGATTAAGGATAATTGCATTTTGATCAATAAATATTATAATAGGCAACATTTAGGCATTTAAAAATAGGCACTGTGAGAGAAGTAGGTATTTATCAGCACTACAAAATTCGCATATAATTATCCTAACACCCCAAAATAAGTAACCTAAAATATTGCGTTTTCCATTAAACAGGCAAAAATCAGCAGCTTAATCATAATACTAGTATATAATCCTTATCAGGGGAAGCAGATTGTACAATTGTGATTGTCATCAAGAAAATCTTAATACGTTATTCCCTGAATGTTCCAAGGAATATATAATTCTCTAAATTTCGGAATTGATTATATTTCATTAATGAAAATGGCACCTTTATTTACTATAAATATTTTTTTAATTAACCCACCCCTTAGATCTCAAAAACAAATTTATGCTATTTACTTAATGTTGTCTTTTTGAGTGCATCTTTTCTTCAAAGTTAATACTCTGTGGACTTCATAACTGAGAAGATTTGCTGCTTCAGAATATCACTGGCATCACTACATCGTCTTCATTTTTGGATTGAAAACGTTAACGTTCCTACCCATTTTTATAGTGTCTTCAAAGAAAAAACTTGAAAATTAGTTGAAGTTTACAAGCAGCAATTTGACTTTTCCTTTATTTGTGTGTTCTGCTGTTTACATTTCATCTGTATATATTTATAACTAGGCCTCAGATGTTGATGACATAAAAATGTTAGAAATATGCTAGCACTTTTATGTCCATAAATACGACTTTAAAACTTTTTGGTGGCATTTTTGAAATCGTTGAACTCTAGTCACCATTACATTGAAAATATACTTTTAAAATCTAGTACTTTCACAATTAACCCCTTCTCCTTTGGCACTCCATGAAAACAATCCCTACTAAAGTTATTTATAAAAGCAGTTGACCTTTGCACAAAAGCTGTCGAAACTAAACCATCTCTTCCTCTGCATCTGGTGCTTTCTACACTTTCTTTTTATCTTATATAGCTTATACTCCTAATTTACATACATATATATTTATATGAAAGACAGACTACAATTAGATACAATCATAACAAATTAGTTAACAATTAGGTGAGAGAGATGACTGCAAGCAAATATGAGAAAATGGAATCAAAAAGATAAAAATATGACAAACAACGCAAGTATTCATGGAAAGATATGACCATAAAATGAAAAATTCGCGGAAAATGACCAAAGGGTTTAAAAAAGATGACTGTATCTGACAAGAAAATTGCATAATTGTAGATGAAATCATGCTTAACTTGTATTATACATGAAAATAACACAGATGTCATAAACATTCTTAAATACAAGTGATTTAAGGAGGATTAGTCCGCCCTCAATCCGTTTATCTCCACCCCCCAAACCCCTTACACACACACTCACACACTCCCTCTCTTATCTCTCAACAATTTCCTTTTCGCCATAAAAACTTATTTCTTTTGCCTTGCTTCTCATTTTACTGTTTCTTAAAATTAACACAATGGTTTCACTGTAGTCCTTCTGTTTTTTTTTTTACTGTTACCTTTTTTAAAGAGTGCTTCTTACCTGTTTCAAAAATGTCTGGCTTCTTCAGGTATCTTAACAGGTGAATAATGGTAGGTGCTCAAGTCTTTAGCAAAGAATCTAGAAATTCATCTAAACCGGCCAAATATTTATTTTTTAGTTTCCCAATTAGTTAAAGAATTTTGTTGAAAGAAGTTTCAGAAACAAATATGTCTAAAATTTTTTATGGAATCATCTGATGGTGAATTTTGTAGCTTAAGATCCATAGTGAGATCTGCAGCAATTCTCGAAAAGCACTGGTTGAAGAGACTAGCCGCTGTTGCTACATCATGTACTTTCTTATCATTATCTTTGAAAACAATATTCTCAAAAAGAATTGTAGTTGATGTGGAAATGATATTCTAATCTCTCCCATTAAAGTTAGCAATAAACAAGAGGCTTCTTTGTCTTGTCTTAAAATGAAAACAGTTAATATTCTCTTTAATAAAATGGTAAAATATTATGTCATAAATCTAACTGAGGAAACTGGGCATTGCTTGAGCATTTATTTTTCTCATTCCTATATTAGGTAGTTCACGTACATTTTTGCGTGGGTATGAAGATGATTCACACAAGCATCAATCTGTCTTAAGCCAGAATTGATTTGGACAAAAAAAAAGTTCTGGTTTATTAAGGTTTCCATTTAATGCAGGATTGTCCATTTAACAACACTTGTGATGTTGATATTTCCCTTTTGAAACTAATAAATAAATATAAGTACCAAAGTAATTAAAGTAAAGTAAAAAAACATGATTTGATTATGATTATTAAAATATTTGCATATTACACATTAATGGAAGAAATCACCTATCATTTAATATTAAACATTCTTCATCAACAGCTGAGTCTCTCTTGCTTCCATAAGTTTGACCTTTTCTTCTAATGTTGGAATTTTATGGTTTTCACTTTGTTAAACTGGTTGGGGAACTCATAAAAATACCCACCACCTCACTGCCTGTTGGCTGCAATCGGCCTGCTTGATGGCTCTTTTAACACAAAAAGCATCACAGCCCAGAGTACTCTGATTTTCTGATACCCTCACATGGCCTTGAATAATGCGTCTCTGGCTGATGGGGTTACAATTTAGAACGTAGGGCAGGGAGAAACGCGAATAGAAGCCACGCCCATTCACCTTCCCGTGCTCAGAGTTGGGGAAGACAGCTGATTCCCTCACTGCTTATGCCTTAAGAAACAAGTGACCCCAATGTCAAATTATACCCTGTCAGCTGAAGCCCCTCTCCTTCACACCACTGTTGCTTTGACTAAATCGCATAGGATAGAGAAAATTAAAAAACAGACTTGCAGATGCATTCAGTTCATTAATCGTCCTCGCATCTCTGTGAATCGCATTCAATTCTTAGAAATTCCGTTTTATAATGGTATTTTGCACTAAGGGACATGAAAAAGCCCTCCCGTTTCTATGTTGGGGGAAGTTCCGTTTTATGCTGTGTAAAATACCATATAACTTCAAGGACCAGAGAAATTTTCTGGTTAGGGCAGATTTCCGGTTTAGACAGATGTTACTGTATAAAATAGTTAACCAATTTTATTGAAGATGTATGTTACTATCAAACTGAAAAGGAATATTATCTATTCCTGCCCTATTCTACATTCTTGAATGTATTTAAGTGTATCCCTGCTGAATCTTGCCTTGCTCTGTCTTGCTTTATCCCATGAAAATTATATGTGCAACTTATGAAGAAAACTTGACATAGATATGAAAAATTCCCATCAGACAATTAAATAAAATATGCAACTTTGAAGTATTCGTAACTTTTTTCCCATCAATTTCAAATCTCTTATACACTTATTACATTCATTAAGATCAACAGCTTATCTTTATAAATATCATGATGTGAAGAAAAACTGGCAAAGGTTTATCATTTCCAAATAGACTTCACATAATGCAATATAATGTAAAACAAACAACCACTTACTAGGGGTAATATCTATTTTCAGAAGTTATTTTGATGTCATTTGTAGTAACCATCCACATTTGTAGTTTTCATTAATATATTCTTCTATGGAATGTTACACTTTTACTAAATGTCTCAGGGTAATATGTAGACATTTGCAGTTCTCTTGTTTTATATTTTGATTTTAAAAATGGTCAAGATAGCATAGTTAGCCTGGATATTCTTGAAAGCAAAACTTTTTGTGTAAAAAAAATTATATTTTGAAGTGAGTTTTGAATTGCAATTACGATCTTTTTGACTCTTGATGACCCAAAAGTATTTGTACCAAAGTAGGGAACAATCACTCCTGTTACTGATTTCTTTGTCTAGTGTGAACGTAAACAATTTCTTCCTTTTTTTTTTAATAATAAATTGCTTGTGAGCAAATAGAAAGTTAAAAGATTAATTACATAGGCCAACACAAGGTTTCAAAATACTTTTTAAACCTTGATAGCTGATTTTTATAGTTATTTGGGTGCTGAATCTGCCTCTGACTCTGTTCCTGTCCATCACCCACAGTTTAGTCACAATTTGATCTGGTAAGATATGGTATTCAAGAAAATATGGTAAATTGCTACAAAAATGAAAATTAAACAAGTTTTAAAATACCAAGAGAACTTTATTGAAACATAAAAGATGGCTTTATAGTCTTAACATTACATTCTACAAAGGCTTTACTAGTCCATTGATATATGTTTTTTGGTATTGCTTGTCAAATGCAACACTGACTATGAAACCGCCACACCTATCGATGTGCTGTAGTGGAAGGAGTCACAATATAGAAATTTGTTACCAAAGCATATACTACCCTCTTTTCTCATTCTAACTTCCTGCATTTCATATGTTTCTAAAGACCCATAGCTGTATTTGCCTAGCTATACAGAAAAAATGTTAAAATGTGAACA